AATTACCCGTAGGTACTTAGACTTGCACCAGCTGTGCACAAGTAGTCGATAATCAACAGGTGAATTAACTGGTTTCTGCTAATCACCACACAAAGATGGTCGCTCAATCCGGTCGACACAATAACAGTTCTTTCTGGCACCTTGATCCTTCCGTATAATCAACAAAAACCCTTCTGTGGCTGACTTGATAGCATGACTGGTCCTGAGGACCAAGTAGTTGAGGACAGGGTCCTGATCGATGCAGAAACACCAATCCATCATGGAAAGATTTAACAAATAAAATACATACAAAAATAATATCCCACCTGCTCTTCATACAGCGTTCATACAATAACATTCTGTCTGAAAATTAGCATAGTGCAATAAATAGCCCTGACACATATTATATATATAATATTCTACACAATATTCGTCTGTTTTTTACAGTTATACAACGTGTCGGTCCATTTCTATCATCAAACTTAATTACGTTTTCAATTCAAATATGGCGACTCGAGGCTGCCGTACTTTTTTTATTTTACATGGACAATACTGACTGGTCAGAATGACATTTATATGGACAATTACACGCATTGTACATATTGTATGAGACTATTATAAACAACATGCATTATACATTACATTATATCAAAATAGGCATCAAAATACAACCTTATATTAGCATGATGTCAACTTCCGTTCCCTACTAGCATACTTACCTGTGCTTCGCACCTATAATAGTAAACATAAAAAATAACACCAATATACATTATAATATAAATAATATTTACATGCGATCGTGACAGCCCGTACAACGAAATGTATTAATTTTCGTGGTTAGCCACGTACAGCGAAATATTCACAAAATATCAAGGGAAAATAAATAGCGAGACCACTATACGCAGTACAATGTATATACTTTTGTGTGCACATTTTGGATTGAAACATAATCATCTTCATCATCAGCATCACATATACACGATGACAATCATGGTCATCATCAATAGTTGATATCAACAGTACATCACTAGTGGAAACCGCTCAATATCTTATATTTCAAATACCTTTGAATTCACGTGTGTGAAGCAATCCCAGCAATATTGATGTTATTGAACTAACCATACCAATGAACTATCATCTAAGTTAACTACCCTAACCCTAACCCTAACATTAACCCTAACTAACCATAGCAATGAACTATCATCTAAGATAAATACCCTAACCCTAACCATAACCCTAACTAACCATAGCAATGAACTATCATCTAAGATAACTACCCTAACCCTTACTAACCATAGAAATGAACTATCATCTAAGATAACTACCCTAACCCTAACCCTGACTAACCATAGCAATGAACTATCATCTAAGATAACTACCCTAACCCTAACCCTTACCCTAACTAACCATACCAATGAACTATCATCTAAGATAACTACCCTAACCCTAACCCTAACTAACCATAGCAATGCACTATCATCTAAGATACAGTTGTGGGATCGCACAACGTTACACGATGTGCGGTGTGCGCACGATGTGTGCACGGTGTGTGAACGGTGTGTGCACGATGGGCGAACGATAAAAAGCTGAACGATCATTGCTTGCGCACATATGTACGCACGATTGACGGACGTTGTGCGATAACAATCGTGGTTGGTGTAAATTGAGGAATGCCTTAACAATTTATACGGTTTCGTGTTTAAACATATAAACTTGATGTTTACGTATGTTTCTATATTCTAGCAACATCTATAAACTTATCTTTCTGTCTATATATTCTTATATTTAGGAATTGTGTTTTCTGTGTTTTTAAACAAACTTAATCGACACATGTAAAATTACAACACAATCCCGTATACAGGTAAACATAACCACTTTGTACATGTACCTGGACCGTAGTTTTCTCCCCGCCTGGGGCATTTACGTAACTCGTCGGGTAAGGCCGGGGTGTGAAAATCCAGGTGAAGGGGAGCTATAGGCAAGCGAATGCAAATAACAAATACTATTCATTACGGTCAAACGGTATCGCATATCAGCTCTGTGTGTCAGGCACTGGTCAGGTAAAACTCCGGACACTCATAAAATTGTTATTTACCTGTTCTGTTACCTTGGAGCCAAACCCATTCTTGACAGCCTAACGGTCGCTGTAATACTGTGTAACACGCATTGTGAAATTGTATAATCTTGATTATTGTGATGAGAAATTACAGATATATACACAGTGTACATTATCGCATACAAGCCTTCCGTATTTTTGTCATTCCGTAATTTTGATCTACAAATGATACCAAATCGCACAGTTGTGCGGAGAGAAGCGCACAACGGGGCGAACGATTGCTAAATCGCACAGTTGTGCGCACCATGTGTGGACGATGTGCGGACGGTGTGTGAACGATGTATGCACGGTGTGCGCACGCTATTTTTGGTGCGTTGTGCGGTCCCACAACTGTAACTACCCTAACCCTAACATTAACCCTAACTAACCATAGCAATGAACCATCATCTAAGATAACTACCCGAACCCTAACCCTTACCCTAACTTACCATAGCAATGAACTATCATCTAAGATAACTACCCTTACCCTAACCCTAACTAACCATAGCAATGAACTATCATATAAGATAACTACCCTTAACCTATCCTTTATCTCATAGCCTATAATCACAGCAATATTGATGTTATTGAAAAAAACATAGCAATGAACTATCATCTAAGATAGCTAATGTTATCCCATCCTCTATCTCATAGCCTATAATCACAGCAATATTGATGTTATTGAACTAACCGTAGCAATCAATTAGTATCTAAGATAACTACCGGTAACCTATCCTCTATCCCATAGCGAATAATCACAGCTGTGTATTACTCCAGTAAGGCATAGTGCACTATGGATACAGACATTATAGCTGATACTTTCGGCATCAGCGTATCTGGATTTCAGTAACACATGAAGATAATTAAAGTCACAAATTAGTTTTGTGAAAACGGTGAAAAATGGCTGGTATGTTCAATGAACACACGGGATAAAAGGGAAAGGCAACAAATCTGTATATAAATGTACATATACAAAATAACAATAATAGGTTATATACTTTCTTACTCCGTACAATAGGCGTCGACCCCATGCGTATATTAAGTAAGTTGTGTAAGTGGTAGTTAGGACTCAGTGGCAGGACTCTATAACCCACATTTGTATAAGGTGATCAAACATTGCCAGCTACAAGTACACTACTTTTATAAAGACACTTGGGACTAATGGGTCATGTCCCTTAACCTTTCCCTATACTATATAATTCATGCATACATGTGTCTGAAAGGTATAGCAGTAAAGACGTGCAGATATATACAGTTGTGGGAATGCACAACGCACCAAAAATACCGTGCATATATCGTTCACACACCGTCTGCTCATCGTCCACACATGGTGCGCGAAACTGTGCGATTTAACAATCGTTCGCCCCGTTGTGTGCTTCTCTGCGCAAATCTGTGCGATATGGTACAATTTGTTGATCAATATTACGGAATGGAAAAAATACGGAATGTTCGTATGCAATAATGTACACTGTATATATCAGTGTAATTTCTCATCATTATAATCAGTAACGTTTACGTCTCTGCTATAATCAAGAGTATATACAAGTTTACAATGCGTGTAATACAGTATACATTGACCGTTAGACTGTGAAGAATGGGTTTGGCTCCTCGGTAACAGAACAGGTAAATAACAATTTGATGAGTGACCAGAGTTTTACCTGGCCTGTACTTGACACATAGAGCTGATATATGATACCGTATGACCATTATGAAAACTCAACTGGACGTTTAATATTTGTTATTTGCATTCGTTTTGGTCTATAGCTCCCCTTCATCTGGTTTTCACACCTTGGCGAGTTACGTAAGTGCCCCGGGCGGGGTAAACTACGGTCCAGGTAAAAGTGTCAATGTTTACCTGTGTAGCTGAGACTGTGTTGTAATTTCACATATGTCGATTAAGGTCGTTTAAAAAACCCACAAAACACCATTTCTAAATTTAAGAAAGTATAGACAGAAAGATAAGCTTATAGATGTAGCTATAGTATAGAAACATATTAAAAACTCTAATTTTATGTTCAAACACGAAACCGTATATATTGTCAAGGCATTCCTCAATTTACACCAACCACGATTGTTATCGCCCAACGTTCGTCGATCGTCCGCACAAATGTACGCAAGGAATCATCGTCCAATTTTGTATCGTTCGCACTTCGTGCACACATCGTTCACACACCGTGCACACATCGTGCGCACACCGCACATCGTGTAACGTTGTACGATCCCACAACTGTATATGTGTCAACCAAAAGTCTCTTTATTTTTTTCAAATATTTAAGAGATAAGATTGCATTTCCTATTTCACAAGAATATAGTGTTATATACTCTAAGGTTTTATATATTTTCCTATGCTATAAACGAAATATATATCTCGAAATATGTTGTTTTGCTGTTTAATGGTGTAAGTAAACCCTACTAAAGAAAGATATGAGGCATTTAAAGACTTGATTTTGATTTAAAATCAATCAAATTGTAGGTTCTTTCAACATTGGTTTTTGATATTTAGTATTTAGTTATATTTAGCAGGAACACAGTAAGATGTCAAGGAATCCGGTTACATATGTAAAGTCACCGACTGACACAACACAGCTATAGCCACGGCCAAGAGACGGAGGTTTCCTCCAGGCAGCAGTTGTTCATCTGTGTCATAAAACGGGCAAACACAACACTGTGATGTTAATTATAGTGAATACACAAACAAATCAGAGCCGGGTAGGGCCTGTTATAATCAAACGATAAAAACGCGAGTATGCAGTTCTCGTTCAGCTGGAAAAATGTAGTTTCATGTTTGTCTCGAATACTTGCATAGAAAATAAATCGTCTTTCGTTTTAAACAATTAACCTTGTATCATCTATTTGTATTATGTGAGCATTTGTTTTTGTCTTTTGTCTTTTGTAATTTTAACTTACATTTTTCTTACTGTTTCAGATTCCAAAATCAGAAAAAGAACGGATGCGCGTGATAGTGTTCCAAAGACTATTTGGAGTGTCAGTTGTCTTAAATGTTGCCTTTCTGGTCACTTTGGCCTATCTCATGGTTGCAGTCCTCCGTCAGGACACCTACACAATGAACAGCATGTGTCAACAAACTAAGAACTATCCGTCCAGTGTAGAAATATATGACAAAAGTGACCTAAACAAGGTGTTTCATGACTTGACATTAGGTGAAATTCATAATGTTATACGATATGTCTATTCTCACATTGAAACCTTTAACATACGCACATCTGCCTATTCCAATGTGTCATCCTCTCTCATTTACTCAATTGAACGTTTTATTCCATCCAAGGATGATATCATCAATTACTTATCTCAGTCTGGAAATATGCCAATTCGCGAGGCACAAGTTGTCATCTTCCACGGTCAGCGTCGAGTTGTCAACGAGTACGTTATAGGTCCTTTAAAACAGAACCACTCTACTACCTTGATGACAAGCCACAGGAGTAAGCGGGTGCCGGCCCGTTCCTTGCCCTTTAGATTGAGGCAGGTAACCTCCTCCGAATTATGGGCCATCCATACCACTATTATGGAATACGCATCACTCCATGAGGTCATGAAGCAGAGTTTCGGTGCCACGCTGTACAACTGTATCGATGCAAGTAATACGAAACGATGCGCGAACATGTATAAACTGTTTGTACCTGTGGTATATTCTAAACGTAGAATGTTATGGGTTCAGTTCTATTACGAGATGGAATTCTATACCATACACCCTATTGACTTTCAGCTACTCATAGATGTAGATATTGATTCCCCAAAGTGGACAATAAAGAAAGTTTGGTACAACCTCATCTTGTACCCTTCGTATGAGGATTTCATAAATAGTTACAAGAACGGAACAGCAGCTAGAATTAGACAAAGTTTCCCAGAAACTGACAGAAAGTCACCGAGACCATATGGCTCTTTGCGACCGCAGCGTGTCCCCTCCAGTAAGAACACCAAGCGGCCACCTGTTCAATTAGAACTCGATGGCCACCGGTATAAGGTTACAGGTCAGGTGGTTAAATATTTAAAGTGGAGTTTTCACTGGGTTAATTCTCTTAAGAAGGGTCCAACATTATTCAATGTGCAGTTTGGAAAAGAGCGAGTTGTGTACGAAATGGGACTACAGGACATAGTTGTTATATACACAGGAGACAGTCCGGCAATGTCTCGCACAGCTTTTGCAGACGGATTTACAGGCTTAGGTAGTAAATCAGCTGGTTTAGTTCCCGGTGTTGATTGTCCAGGCTACGCCACCCTCCTGAATGTTACCATAACGACGGAAGACTTTCAAACTGGAGGGGTTCTGCCGAATGCGATTTGTTTGTTTGAACACAATCTTGGTCGCCCTTTGCGTCGGCATTATTCTACAAATGTTGCGGAAGGAGGCGTCTTTTATGGTGGTTTAATGGCAACTGTTCTCATCTTTCGCACGATCTACGTTATCAATAATTACGACTATGTACTAGACTATATGTTTTATGAGAACGGCGCTATAGAAATAAAGATATATCCAACAGGCTACGTTCTTACAGCTTTTCAACATCCTTCCGAACGAAAATATGGATTCACAGTTGGAGAAAATACAACAGCGCCAATGCATCTGCATTTATTTCATTTCAAAATAGATATTGACATCTTAGGAAAGAACAATAGTTATGAAACACTGGATATTGGCGTTGAACAGTTCGACACTCCAAACCTCGATGGACGAGGTATTGATGACAGTTACAGATATAAATTAACACGACAATTAAAACATACGGAACTAGAGGCGGCTTATAAATTCAACTTTTCGCAACCAAAGTACCACATTGTTTATAACCCGAAAAAGAAAAATAATTACGGTGAACATAGAGGTTATAGGATACAGGCAAATGGATTTGCAAACCAGTTGCTGCCTAAGGACATCGGGTTTGAGAGCACTATTCCCTGGTCACGTTACCAGATGGTCGTAACTAAACACAAGGATGCAGAAGAGTCTAGCGGGTCAGTTCACACGACACTAGATGCAGGTCAACCGGTCGTCAACTTCCAGTCTTTTATAGATGACAACGAAAACATTGTTGACGAGGTAAATCATTGTACCATTACGTATTGGGGTGGGTCCGTGGTTAGGGTGTTGAGACCCACTGCGGGTAAGCATCAAACTGCTGATGATAATTTCTGTCAGATCACTTGCACAATTTTCTGTCTGTATTTGGTTATTGTTATGTGGTTAATAGAAAATCATTTTAGAAGGAATTTGATCAGTCGGGATTGTCTTAAAATAAATATTTTCAGTCAGGAAAAGATACTTGCAAGACGGTTTGTTTTTCTGTTTGCCTGCGTTAAATAGAATTATCTGTGCAAAACAATGTTTGCAATTGTCTGATATCGTAATGTGTTTCAGAAAAGATATTTTCTGGATATGGTTGTCACAGTAATGCGTTAATAATTTGATAAAGTCAACATTCCGGGAAAAAACTCACAATATGCAAGAATCATCTATGATTAAAACATGCCTGCTTGTTTCATGCATTGAATTCACATCAGGATGAATCTGAAAAAAATTGTTGTTGTCAATAATATAAAAAACACTCAGATTGGATTTGACACTAACAGTTGTTTGATTTCGCTTTGTAAAAACGGATCTCCAGAACTATGTGCAGCCTTAAAAGTGCAAGTAGTGTAGGGCCGTGAGAATATAATGCATTGATGTGATTCTCAATTGGTAGAGAACGATGTGCGATGTAACATCCCCGGCATCTTGTCACCTTATTCTCATTGTGAAAGTCTTTGTTAGTAGCTGGAATCGATGCATTTAAAGAACATGCATTAATTTATATAATCTTGCACTGTTAATAGATTGATCATTAGTCCCCAAATATTCTGTTTCATAACATAGCATTCATAGCATGGCATAATATTTGCAAATCAATAAAACCGTGGATAAGTTGTCCTACATATGTTTGATATGAAAAAAATGCCCCTTTTCCCTTAGCCGGCTAACTTTTATTTGGTTTTATATTATTTCCCATAATCGTGAAGTAAAATCCCCAATCATTTCAATTCATCATCGTTTTTACCAGACAATTTTGAGGTCCCCATATTAGCACATATAGTAATAAAAAACAGTAACAGCTTTAATCGTGCATGGGTAGTTATTAGTTAAAATATTGCAATTAATAGTTTTTCAGATATAAAGAATAAAGCAAAGGAGATAAAAGATCACCCAAAAGCAAACCGTCTCTACACGTAACGTTATCCGACTTGGTATTATAATCTCTAACAGAAAATTTAATAACATGATAGAGCGAACATAAAATTTATCAACATTATCAATCATTTTTTATAATCAAAGAACCAACAATCATCAACAATTAAAATACCAGACAATGTTGACGATGCATTTCGTTCCTAAACTCAAATTGACCACCTATCACTTAATTTGTAATGTGTTCCATCGAAATCCTTCAATTTGGGGGAAATTGGGGATGCCCTGATCGGAAACCGTTTTTAATTACACGTACTAGTAACAGATAAAGAGCTAATGAGTCTTTGCTTCAAATTTTATTGACATCAATTCCAAAAGGTGTTTGTGAAAAAAAAAAGAATTGTAATATTTTAGATCCACCATGTTTCCCTATTGCATTTGGCAGTCTCTGTTTTAGCTAAAATACATTTTTTTTTTTCTCACGCAAACCGTTCGCCAATGCCATTTTGCTTCAATTCGTTATAACATGAGCACTTTTGTATTTTTGATATAGCAACGTAACCTGTCCGCTAAACCATGGCTTGCCCTCTTAATCTTTCGGCTATTTAATACCGAGATCGTTGTTTTCATACAGTAGGCGACATCATCTCAATTAACTGTGAGAATAACATTGCAATGCTTGAATTAATCCCATCTATAGAATATGAATCTATCTTTTTTCCTTACCACAAGATTAACGATGATTTTTATGCTATCGTTCAATTTTACACTGGTATATCACAGATTAACGATGATTTCTGTGCTATCGTTCAATTTTACACTGGTATATTTTGATTACTAGACGTGTTTGTCTTAAATGTCGCATTTTTTGCCCTTCAGCTAAACTAATTCAAACAAGGATGTGATCTGAAGGGGCTGAAACTTCTAGTTCCGAATTTAAGAACGTGTGAAATAATACACCATATACAATAGCTCCTTATGAGTATATTTTGCATTTACTCAATTGTTACAGAACATACTACACAGTATTAAAATGAGTGTAAAATTGTCAACAATAGAGTTGATCTCAGGAACCAAATAGGTGATACAATATTAATCAAACAATGGACGTTAAATGTTTCTTTATTTTATTTGTGTCTGTCTATTGTTTCTATGTGTATGACACCTGACATAGTAAATTTCCCTGGTGTCGCGAAATGGCTCAAATATGTCACCTTCTCATATATAGTGTACATCTTGACTGAATTGGTAGATATTTGGTTATTTTTGTGTGTATTGTAGACTGAGGCAACTTTGAATGCAAGGGTTAATGGAATACAGTTTTGAGCAATCAGTCTAAATGTTAGTTGAAATAGTTAACTTTGAATATGGATTTAACCGTCTATATTGGCCACTGTTTCTAGAATATTATATTTGTAGATATTGAATTGTTAAGAATAAAATTAACTTATAAATTTGATCACTTGGATGCTGATTCTAAGTTCTAAACTAGCGGGAGATAAGCTAGTAGAAACATGCAGTTGAAAAATTCTTCATAAAGACTTAGGGGCTAGGGCCCACTTGTATAAAACATCTCAAAGTTAAGGAAAATCTCAAGAAATGTATTGTCTATGGGAAATCTCAAGAGTTAAAAAGTTTTATACAAGTGGGCCTAGGTCTACTAACCGTTAACGATTGAAGGGATTTATAACAGAAGGGGCCTTCATTAGACCGTTATGAAATAAAATACCTAAGTTTAATTGGCGGTAGTTGTGAAACCGTTCCCTACTATAGTATGTGTCATTATCGATCAGCTAATGCATATCTAATTCTGCGTTGCATAGAATTCTTAACAGCATTGATTGTCCGAGTAGGAATGTTATTCCTCGACTAGTACATTGGTTATTTGGGGGAGGCTAACCGTGGGTTACGGCGATTCCAAACTCCTCTGTCGTTTTCATCCTACAAGTGTTCGAATGGGGACATATGAGGCTATATGGAGGCAAATCAATAGGGTTGATATCACGCATTACAAAAACGCTCCTAAGACTCTTGCAACGTGTGGCCTCGCATTATCCAAAACACAGGCGTAAGTAAAACGTTTGCCTTGACGCCGAAACACATTCGTTGAGTGACGTCTGTTCGAAGTAACAGGAATCGAGGTTCAACGGTGAAAAGCATGGATCACCAACCTATTTAGCTTGTTTAAAAGTGTATTAATTAGTTTTTGGAAAACACTTTCTTAACGTAAATGTGGACAACATACTTTTTAAAAAAGGTTCTAAAAGTAAAACATATTTAGATTTAGTCATTAGCCATAAACATTAGCATAAACCAATGATCGCTATCGCAAATCATTCGTTTCGTTCATCCATCCCACCAATCATTACCAGTCTTTCGCTCTTACGAGTAAGTTTAACAGAAATTCTCCCTAGCGGAGTCGATAGGAAGCATCTTGTAAATTTACCAGGGTGACATACATCCCCAAAAATGCTTGCGATAGAGGCTCGAGTTTTCCGGGGTAAAGCTGTTCTTTTGAAAGTAACGTTGAGTACATTTGTCATTTCCTCCGCTATCGGTCGCGCCCGGGTCCCTTGGGTTAATAGTCTTACGCTCTACCAATTGCGCTAAGGAGATATTCTCTCTAGCCGAGACGGTAGGAGTGACGAGTATACTATCAGGGTGACAATAATACAACTCTGTAATCATTATATTCGTCATATAAGTGTCACTTATGTCAGTGAATGTGTGGCAGGCGTGTACGTGTTATCCGCGTATTGATATGTATATTCTACTCTATGAGTAATCATTGTTTTTGCGTCTGTATTCGTGTTGGAGTTGATATGTCTTTGCCCATCGTGTCGGCGTCTAAAACGATGAATCTATGTCAATTTGTATAATTTTGCATTGCTAACGTCTATATAAGTGTCACTCATACCACTCTTGTTACCGTGATAATGTCTACAACGGTATTAACAACAGAACAAACCAAACAACGCATTGTTTATTTAAGGTTTGTTATTACGTTGTGGTTTTACTTACTTACACCAGGATTTCATTATTCTCGCTCTATATCGCTAGGAACCTTTTTAACATGGGTTCTGGTTACGGTGAATTGAATTGACTCATTTTTTGTCGTTGGGTTTAAATTCAAGGAAAAATAACTGTCCTGTACAACGTTTTATACACACATATTGTATGGGTCGAAACATCTAGCACGTAGTTTTACATAATATTGACTGCTCTCCCTTGGCCCTTCTCAAACTGAGAAATGTTACTCTTACAGTTAAGCATGTTCACAATACTTTATATTTAAACAATTGAAATTAATTTGAATTATAATGATCTAATTCCCCCTCCCAACACCACCACCACCACCACCACCCCCACCACCACCACCACCACCAATACGTGTATATTTGAACACAAATTCAGTGGGTTGTTTGGTAATCACAAAAAATCAAATATATCCTTATCCTCTATAGCACGTTGTGTTAATATATCGACATACTTAGTAGGTTAAAGTTAAGATGGATTATCAAATATGTGTGGTATTGTCATATGACTTGATTTAGCTTATCTATTTTTCTGTGCTTTTCCTGTTTTAGGACCTTGTGTTCTGGTTGACATTGGGAACCCATCATATCCCGAAAGCTGAAGACATACCGAACACAGCTACTTCAAGTAGTATTTTGTCCATACAACTGACTCCGTTCAATTACTTCAACGAGGATCCGTCCATAAATTCTAGAGATTCAGTGTACATCACCCCAAAAACAGAATTCGAGCCCAAACAGGGCCTCAATATTGAAAATAACGTTGATCATAAAACTGAATCTTGTCTACCAAAAATGTTTAGTTTTGATGAACTGAAGAAAGATGGGACATCAATATTTTTTCCTTATTCATGATTTGATATGAATGCAATAAAAAGCTATTTTCATCTAATAATATTCTTCTTAACGTCATTCATTATTGGAAAAGGGTCACTTAAACGATTCATAACGTTACAACAAATAATTTCATCTTCAGGCAGTATTTTATCTGAACCGTTACCGCCAACGGCAGGTAATGATAGTCCATCAACAGAACCAATGACCTTCTGACGTAAACCTGATAGTCCATCAACATAACTAACGACCTTCTGACTTAAAACTGATAGCCCCTCAACAGAACCAACGAACTTCTGACGTAAAACTGATAATCCATCAACAGAACCAACGACCTTCTGACGTAAAACTGATAATCCATCAACACAACCAACGACCTTCTGAGGTAAAACTGATAATCCATCAACAGAACNATCAACAGAACCAACGACCTTCTGACGTAAAACTGATAGTCCATCAACAGAACCAACGACCTTCTGACGTAAAACTGATAGTCCATCAACAGAACCAACGACCTTCTGACGTAAAACTGATCGTCCATTAACAGAACTAACGACCTTCTGATGTAAAATTGATAGTCCATCAACAGAACCAACGACCTTCTGACATAAAACTGACCGTCCATCAACAGAA